AATAGCTAAGTACCTGATAGACTGGAGCTGCTGCTTGCTGCGCTCCTCCTCCAAAGTAGCGCCGGGAATCCCTTTTATCGGCGTAGAAGGCGCTGATTTCTTCTTCTGAAGGGAATGAAGCTCGTCGATAGTCTGGGCCCTAACAGGTGGGGTGCTGTCGTCGATGCAAATTTCGTGATCCTTCTTCTCCGTATGAATCTTGGGCAGCCCGTGCCGTCCCGTGCCTCCCACGCGCCCGTTGCCGTTGGCCGCCATCTCAAATTATAAATAATAATAATAATTATAAATAATCGGAGATGGAATATAGTGAGTGAAGATGAATGATGATGAATGGCGTGTGCTGGGAAGGCTTATTTATAATATCGGGCATATACGATACCCAGTCTTAACTTTAACTTTTAACTTTAACCAGGGGTGGGAGTTAACTCTGGTTAGATTAAATCCTATCGAGTATTGTCAGGTTGCCGCATTCAAAGAAAGGAAAAAATCATATCCCGATTTTCCGCGAAATTTGCATACCTCTTTTAACATCATGACATTTTTTTTGGGTGTGACTCGATTGCACAGCCATTCTTCAAATGCCAACACATCTTTTTTTAATTTTACCAGGAATTTTTCCTTGTCTCACTCGATTTTTGCCTATCTTTAAGCATGTTATCTATTTTTCCTCTCTTGATGATTGACTGGAAATAGTATTCATTAGCTATCAGCAAATTAAACAATCTATAGTATATCATATCACAAGTACAATAAATAAAACCAAATTAATTTATGGATTTGTGTTTCAATTACGTATTACCTACCCAAATCCATACAAGTGTTAAATTGATTATTATTAGTAGACAAATCGACTGTACTCGCCCNGAATATTATACCAATATAGAGAAAACACATACATAGAGTCTCATCCTTCAGCTACACATTACAAATACTACAATCCCACCCTGAATATCACAATGCTAAATGAACAGACTAAACACAAAGAAGGGGAGGCCTTTAATAATGAGGACCTAGCAAGAGATAAGGACTAGTGGTTATTCTAATGGGCAGTATAGAATACTGAGGCCCTTAGCTTCTCCACGAGCCTAAAGAATACAACCTAGCCACTGCTTGGAGCCTAGCTAGTGAAAAAGAACACAAAGTAAAATCTAAATTACCCCAACTAGCAAACTAAATTAGAAAATTCTAACCAATCTGAACAAGCATAATCCACAATGATTTTTTCTTGCATCCAGCTCCTTTCAAATAGCCAGAGATTCCTAGCTTTCCATAACCACCATAGAATGTAGGTGGTTAGCTGGATTCTCTCTTCAGCTTCTTTCCCACTGTGCATTAGACAGATTTCTTTCCACCAGTCCTTGAAGCTTATGATTTCCTCTTACAAGCTATTCCAAGTGACTGGAGCAAGTCTCCATACCTGTTTAGCTCTAGAGCAGTTGAAAACAATATGCTCAGTAGTTTCCTCACACTCCCCACAGACATTGCAAGTGTTGTCCACTGTCAATCCTCTCTTTCTGATGTTATCACCTGAGGGAAGAATTCCAGAAAAACGCTCCCTTATGAAATGTTTTATCTTCTTTATTTTAAGTTGCCAGCTGGTTTTTCTCACTTTGCTGGTCCAGGCAGATTGAGAACTTGATTCTGGAATGTCTAACTCATGCAATTTGTTCTTGACAAGAAATTCATAGGAGGATGCTACTGTGAAATTTTCCTTTTTATTCAAGCACCAGGAGAAGCTGTCTTGTAATGCTCTGTTGATAGTAGTAATGCTAAGGATAGCTTCACATTCTTCTGGGGTAAAGCATTGTCTAATAAAAGGTTCATTCCATGCATTCATATCTGGAAGCATAAGTTCACAGACCCATGTTGGAGAAGTGGCAGACAACTCCCTTCTTGTAGGTTTCTTGTTGGGCAGATTTGGAATCCATGGGTGGTCCCAGATATTTGTGCTCTTTCCATCCCTGATAATAATAAGGAGCCCCTGTTGCAAATATGGCTTCACAGACATCCAGCTCATCCACAACCATGAGTTGTTCCTTGGTGGCTTGCAATCAAGCATTGAGCAGTTGGGGAAGTACCTGTCCCTGAGGATTTTACTCACAAGCAATTGAGGCTTAGTGTAAATTCTCCAGAGTTGCTTGAGAATAAGTGATTCATTAAAAAGTTTGAGATCAGTAAACCCCAGACCACCATGGGTTGTAGGGAGAGTCAATAATTTCCATTTCTTCCAATGTAACCCTTTATCCAGAGTCCCTCCTTTAGACCACCAAAAATTAGCAATCACTTTAGAGATATCAGAACAAATATTAGAAGGTAAAAGAAAACAGGACATGACAAAAAGAGGGAGAGCTGTTAAGACTGCTTTTATAAGAACTTCCTTTCCTGCAGAGGAGAGATATTTGTTTTTTTCAATTACATATTCTATTTCTCACTGCTTCAAGGACAAAAGAGAAAGTTTTGCTTTTTTGATTGACCAATACCAAGTGGTAAGCCTAGATACTTAGAAGAAAATTGAACTTGAATGCCACAGAAAAGACTACATATACAAGCTTTGACAGAAGGGGGGGTGTTTTTAATAAAAAAATATAGAGGATTTACACAAATTTATTTTTTGGCCTGAAATGAGATAGTAGCTGTTGGGAATATTTAAAATCTCAACAGCTTGAGAGGGTGAAGCTTTACAAAATAGGAGGGTATCGTCTGCAAATAATAGGTGAGTGATAGGCGGCCCATTTCTGGAAATTTTAAGTCCTGACAGAGTGCCATTAAGAACAGATTGGTTCAGTAAACAAGAAAGGATCTCAGACACAATAATGATTATATATGGTGAAATAGGATCCCCCTGACGAATTCCTCTAGAAGGAGAAACATGGCCGCATTTTTTCCCATTGATGTTAAAGGAGAAGCTAGCAGTAGATATGCAAGACATGACCCAGTTAACAAATTGCACATGAAATCCCATTTTTAACATGATAGATTTGATGCAAGATCACTCAATACGATCAAAGGCTTTTTCCATATCAAGCTTGATAGCCATGTAGTAGTTTGAGCCTGATCTAAGTCTGTTCAAATAATGAATGGCCTCTTGGGCAATCACCACATTGTCTAAAAGCTGTCTCTCAGGAATAAAGGCTGCTTGATTAGCACTAATGCAAGTAGACAAACAATTTTTTGGTCTGGAGGCAAGAATTTTAGAAATGATTTTATAAGCAACACAACACAAACTGATAGGTCTGTACTGCTCAATGTTTGAAGGGTTCTGAATTTTAGGGACAAGTGTAATCAGGTGTGGTTCCAGGACTTAGACATGAAACCAGAGTTGAAAAAACTGAAAATAGATGAAAAGAGGCTATCTTTAATTATGGACCAGTTTTTTTTTTGAAAAAAGAGTGGGGTCATACCATCATGGTCGGGAGCTTTGTTTGGGTTCATGTTGTCCAGAACTCTCTTTACTTCTTCTTCATCAACTAAGGCCAGGAGTTTGTTGTTCATTGCCCGAGTGATGGATGGTTGAATGCAGTCCAGCAGGCGGTCTTCAGGTCCAAGGCATTTTGAGGTAAAGAGCTTTTTGTAGAATTCAGTGATGCAGTTCTCAATTTCAGCTTCTGTTTCACATATTGTATTGTCTCTTTTGATCAACCTCGTAATGGCATTGGTTTTTCTTCTTTGGGTAGTGAAGGCATGGAAGAATCGGGTGTTTTTGTCGCCTTCTTTTAGCCATTGAAGCCTTGACTTCTGCTTCCAATATATCTCCTCCGCCCTGTTGATAAAATCAATTTTTTTCTTCAGTGAGTTCCATCTAGTCCAGTCTTTGCTGTTTCCCAAAGCCCTGAGCTCTTCCATTTCCTGTGTTGCTTCTAACAACTCTTTGTCATTCTCTGCTTTAAACTTCCCACTCCATTTAAGCAAGGCCACCCTCGTTGCTGCAACTTTTTTCTGGAACTGGGCCATAGGGTGACCACTTTGAAAACACTCCCAGGCTTGTTTAATGACATCACTTACCCCTTCCTTAAGTAACCAGCGTCTGTCGAATACAAATCTCCTGTGAAGCTTTTTGCAATTTGCTCCTGAGTCAAGTACTATCAGGCTGTGGTCAGATGAACTGAGGTAGATATTCTTGGCAATGGAGTTCGGGTTCTCACTCAACCATCCCAGAGGAGAAAAAAACTTATCCAGTTTTTCTTCCACAAATTCAGGGCCCTGTCTGCAATTCCACCAGGTGAAATGGTGGCCACTTAGTGGGACCTGCATGCTCATGTTGGCTATAAATTTTTTGAAATTCCAGAAGCTGGTTTCTAGCCTTGCTCTGCCTCCTTGTTTTTTCCATTGGTTGCAAATGTCATTCCAGTCACCTCCAATGACCCAACTATCTCCCCAGTTGCTTTTGGCTTGTTCAAGGTACCTTCTTTGATTTTCTCTTTCTGTTGAGTCTGTGCTGAGGTATACAAAAATGATCCATGCTTTTGTTCTTTCCAAGTTATGGCTATATTCCACCTCTATACAGAATTTGTGTGTTATCATTTGCAGCACTGTGATGTCCTTGTTCCAAAGGAGCAAGAGACCTCCACTTTTACCTACTGGGTCCACCACTGCAGCTCTTCCTTCATAACCAAGCTTCTTGCAGACTGTTTGGACATAAGGGCTGTTTTGCCTTGTTTCACTGACAAAGGCAAACCAGGGGAGGTGGAGCTTTAGAGCCTCCTTAAGTTGGGGAACTGTAGAGGGTCCTCCCAGACCTCTACAGTTCCACACCATTGCTTTCATTGGGGGGTTGGGAGCCATTTGAGGCTGGCTTCCTCCACCTTTACATTGTTGCTGTTGTCATCTTGTTGCTTTTGTTTTTTCTTGTTGTGAGAGTTTGGTTCTTCCTGAACTGAGTGGGAAGGTGGGCTGTCAGAGAGAGGTCTACTCCTTTTAGAGCCTTTTGTGTCTTTGGGCTCACTCTGAGTTGTCAAATTGTCTTCTTTCGGTTTAGGGGTTTATGGTTTCCTTGTCCATTTCTTTCTGAGTTTGGCTGGGCTTGAAGATTTTGAGGGGGTAGGTGTTTGGGTATGCTCAATTTCCATCTTGGTATTTTGGTTTTCCCCCGGTTTGGGTAGGGCTGCAGTATAGAAGTCCATGTTGTTGTTGGTTAGGAAGAGAATAGGGGTTGGGATTAGGGATTCAGTTTGGATATTTGGAGGAGGAGTGTTAACAGGAGGTGTGGGGGCATTTGGAGAGTTCTTATCTGTGTTGAGTGAATTTGCTGGACGGTAAGGAGTACTGGGTACTGGATTTGAATCTGAGTTTGGTTTAGGGGCGGCTTTAATGGCTTGGCTACTGGTGGATGTTTTCGAGTCGCCTCCAGATTTGGGTTATGGAGAGATAGATGGAGAGGGCGAGGGTGAAGGGGAAACACTTACAGGGGATGGAGAGGG